TATATATATATATATATATATATACCTGTATATCGAAATGTAGTCATTATAGGTGTTATAGATATGATATAATTTCTTGCTAAATAGATTACATTTAATTTTATATCTTATACTTTTTAGCAATGTCGTCAAAACAATCAGCTATTTCTTCCAACTGTTACCAGTCAGAGATTCTATGCTGAAAAGAAGGTATTCAGCCGTGATAAACCACATTGCAATATAGGCACTATAGGTCATGTAGATCATGGCAAAACCACTCTAACAGCAGCTATTACCAAAGGTATTTATTTATTTATAGGATGATTATCTGCATAAATGAAGGCATAAATTAACAGAAACTTGTAAATAGTCTTGTCTGAGAAGCAATTAGCAAAAGCTAAGGAATACAGTGAGATCGATAATGCTCCTGAAGAAAAGGCTCGTGGCATTACCATTAATGTCGCACATATTGAATATCAAACACAAAATCGTCATTATGGACATACAGATTGCCCAGGTCATGCCGATTACATAAAAAATATGATAACAGGAACTGCTCAAATGGATGGCGCTATACTGGTCGTCGCTGCCACGGATGGTACAATGCCACAAACTAGAGAGCATTTGCTTCTTGCTAAACAAATTGGTATCAAGCATATCGTTGTGTTTATTAACAAGGTGTTTATTTTTATTAATATAAGCGAAAGTAGCAAGGGTCAAATAATAAATATTAAAATTAAAATTTTATTCAATATTTTCAAGGTCGATGCTGCTGATTCAGAGATGGTAGAATTAGTAGAAATGGAAGTACGAGAGTTGTTTTCTGAAATGGGTTACGATGGCGATAATATTCCAATAGTAAAAGGTAGTGCGCTTTGCGCACTTGAAGGAAAAAGTCCTGAAATAGGCTCACAGACTGTTCTGCAATTGTTAGAAACAGTAGATAAACATATCCCGACCCCATTGAGAGAACTGGATAAACCCTTCTTACTTCCAGTAGAGAATGTATATTCTATTCCTGGTAGAGGTACCGTGGTTACTGGTAGACTAGAGCGTGGTAAACTGAAGAAAGGGACGGATTGCGAGTTTATTGGTTATAATAAAGTTTTCAAAAGCGTAGTCACAGGTATAGAAATGTTCCATCAAATATTAGAGGAAGCCCATGCCGGGGATCAACTTGGTGCTCTAGTGAAAGGTTTAAAAAGAGACGAAATAAAAAGAGGCATGATAATGTGTAAACCTGGCTCTATGAAGGCGTATGATCACATAGAAGCACAAGTGTACCTATTGAGTAAACAAGAAGGTGGTAGGAAAAAACCAATTGCGAATATGATACAATTACAGATGTTTTGTAGAACGTGGGATGTTGCAGCACAATGTTCGATAGTGGGAAAGGATTTAGCCATGCCAGGAGAAGATAGCACGTAAGATATTTGTTTTTCAAGAATTTTATTATTTTCTACATTAATTTTCCTATACTCATTGTTTTTTACTGCAGACTCGTACTAAAGTTGATAAGACCAATGGTATTGGAGAAGGGACAACGTTTTACATTACGAGATGGAGCGGTAACTCTAGGAACTGGTGTAATCACTAACACTCTGAAATCACTTACGGACTCAGAGCGACATGATCTTCTCGAGGGCAAAAAGATACTGAAAAAGGACAAGAAAGCGCAACGAAATTAGACTCAATAAATATTTGTTACAAAATAAAGCAGAATTGTGCTGTATAATAAAGAAAATATAAATCAGCTTAGTTTGAAAGTTTGATAAGATGCACAAGATAGATGACCATTATAGATAATATAATAATGGATACATAATTTATGTATTTAAAGAACGCATTTCGCTA